ACAATTTGCATAAACCCCACATCCATATAATAGCGTAGGTATTAAGTACGCTTTAGCTAAGAGTAATATTATATTTAAAGGAGTGAAGTATTGTGTCAACCAGAGTGTACGAAGCATCCCATACACTTTACGTACTGTGCTAAAAATGTGATCTTTTCACGTCAATGTTTTATTAAAGATTACACCAAGATTTTTTGCCGTGTCAACATATTTTACGGCTGACTTATCCAACAAGATTTTTTTTTTTAGTGACAGTGGATTTCCTATGAATGACGATGCACTTGGATTTGTCAGGATTAAGGCATAAGCCGTTACTAGTAGCCCAATACCCTATACGAGTCAAGTCAGAGTTTAGATCCTTAATACAAATACTACTACGATCCGAAGGACAGGAAGCATACAATTGGACATGATCAGCGTAAGTATGGACATTACAATATTTTAAAACGTTCGGTAAGTCGTTTATAAACAAACCAAATAACAAAGGAGCCTTGAGGGACTCCTCTAAGTACTGGTAGGAAATCAGATTTTCTGGGGCCAATGCTCACAGCCTGAGTTCTGCCGCCAAGGTAAGATCTGATCAAGGCAGTTGCATGGCAGGAAAAGTTAAATAAGTTTTTCAACTTGCAACATAATAACCTATGGCCCACTGAGTCAAAAGCCTTAGAATGATCGAGTAGGGTTAAGAAGACAATACTATTTTCGTCGACTTGTGATCGAATGCTTTCTACCACGTCCAAGAGTGCCGTTGTGCAACTACTCTTCGATCGGAACCCAGACTGACGGTCTGACAGAAGTCTGTTGTCTTGCACATAAGAAATGATTTGGTTGTATAAAATACGCTCAACGACTTTCGACAGAAAAGGTAAGATAGCTATATGTCTATATTCGTCATCTTTTTTGTGAACAGGAATAACCCTGGCAGCTTTCCATTGCTCTGGGAAAACACAGGTTGTCAGAATGGAGTTTACTAAATAGGTTAAATGTGGCAGGATCTTGGGTAATATTATTTTAAGGAAAGTTGCATGAATTCCATCAAATCCTACCGCATTAGATCTGACAGAGTATGGCTTGCACAACGTCACAATCATCAACAGAAACAAATTCAAACGGACAGACACCAACATTTGCACGATCACTGTAGTTTTCAAGACATATATTAGCTGTGGAAACAGGTAGACTAACAAATTTTTTATTTAATTCGTTCACATCGGAAGAAGTAGGAGCATTTGTTTTAGTTTTCCCAATCTCAATATCTTTTATAGTATTCCAAGTTTGCTTTATATTTATAGCAGAACTAAACTTTTCTTTGTAGAAGATAGTTTTTGCTGTTTTTAAGGCTTTGTTCACAGTAAGCCGAGCATTTTTAAGAAGATTAAGAGCTTCAGTTAATATGGTCTTGTAGGAAACTAGTTTGGTCCTGAATAGATACGAGCTTCTGAATATGTGTCCACTCCACTGACTCAACCGCAGCTGTAAGTGAGTTAAAGTCAATATATTTGAAGTCCCGATATGTAAAAGAGGTTGGTGTTCCTGGCGTTTCGATGTCATATGTCAAAAAAATTAGATCATGTTTTGAGAATCCAGGTGCAGAGAGCTGATTATAGTGGAAGGATTTCTGTAAGTCGCTCACAAAAAATATATCCAGTAGGCTGCTGTTAGTGTTGGTAAAATGTGTCGGAAAGGATGTATTAGTGGGAAAAAGCCCAAGAGATTCCATACTTAGCCTTAAACTGTTGTCTTCGAGCAAGTTGCTATTGAAATCTCCGGCATTTATAATGTTTCTATAGTTTTCAATAAGAGGATGAGCAATTCCGTAAAATTAACATAACGATTTGGTCTATATACACAGCCGACAAGGACCTTATTATTTTCGGAAAACACATCTACAAACACATATTCGACGGAATCACCATTGCCGGAAGCACAACTTAAACTACAGGACAAACTATTTTTAACATATATTGCAACACCACCACCATGACCACCTCTATCAGCTCTGAAAAGTTTATAACCATTTACTTTTACTACGTCTTTACTATAAAATGAAGAAAACCAAGTTTCGGAAACACATAAAATATCAATATTCGAATCTTCAAAGGCATATCTAAATTCATCAAGTTTTTTATATCAGCTTTGCGCGTTCAAGTGAATTATCTTCAGCCCGGTTGTTTTTTTTTTGCTGATGATACGTAGTAGGGTGAAAAGACTGTCTTTGGAACTCGCCGACTTATGGCCTGGAGACACAATAACAAAACTCTATTAATATATTATTTGCACTGTGTATAGATTTTAACAAATTTAATGAAAAACTTAACCTGCATAACTCAGAAAACATGTATAAAGTAAGAGAATTGAAGAAAGATATAAGAAGCAGTAACAAAACTTAGAACGTAAGAGAGGAATACTATAATCATCCGCATTAATTATGTGCATCTTGGGATGACTTATTTGCATTCTGGGCGCCACCATCACGAAAGGGAGGACCAATAACAGGGCTGCTGATTCCAAGATCCTTAAGGATCTCCATCGAATATATCGCTTGATGGTTATCGTTAGTATTCCGTTTGACATAAACGATGCCCCTTTTTGTGAACACAGATGAGATTTTTTTTACGTTTTTTGAGTTGAAGAGAGGACTTAAATATCACGTGGTTATGTTTGGTCAATGACTCGTTCACTTAAATGGGAACGTCAGAACTTATACCCACATGAGTTAATCGTAACACGTTATTGTTCACTCATTTAAAATTCCCAATAGCTTTCAGAAGCACGTTTCTATCTGCGGGGTTTGGGAGTTTTATAATAATTGCAGGATCAGTTGGCGCATCCTGGTATTTCCGTGCACGAAAAATTGCTTTTAACGGAGGAGGTTGTATGTCCAACGTAAAACAGAGATGGTGGAATATACTTTGTAGGTTTTCACCTTTTTCGAGAGGTACTCCATTCATTCGGACATCGCATGCGGCTATTAAATTTTCCTGCCTCGACATGTTAGTCTTCAAGACAGCTAACTCGGCTTCAAGGGCCTCAATACGGTCGAACGCTGACTCTAAACGAGTGACTCTATCGCTTATGCAATTTAAATCGCGCTGTATAACTTCGATCTTGTCTTCGAATTTTCGGAAGAAAAGCTCTGTGATTCTGTTTTCAGAGTCCAGAATTTGTTTTGAAACAAGATCCTTGTATTTCGTGAAGCGAAGATCCATACTCCGCATTAGGCTAGGGGAATCACTAATGCGAGGGGTTTTTGCAGGTTCAGCATCATTGCATATAGCTTCACCACGTCGCTTGCCGGCGCCAGGAGCCATTGTATTTTAGGGGATTTTCTTGAAGGAAACTGGGGGATTATCTCAAAATGAAACCGAGTGGCAGCACTGTTAGCAAATTGATTAGTGGTAGGTTGCACTGTAGGACCACAGGTGGCGCTGAGCTCGGGTGATCGCAGACACAAACCACTTTAGAAAAAGCTTATAGCGGGAGGTATGTGATTGTTGTTGGTGATTTTTATATGGTCTGATTTGCCTACGGATTGGAGCAAATTGTGCAATTCACTGGAGCACCTTTGTGACTTACTTTTTTGTTTTGCTGACTGGAGCCACCGGAACAGAAGATTTTTCACTAGTGGCGTGTTTTCGCACCTTATATTAATTAGATATAGTTAACACTAGTTATTTTTCAATTGGAACTTAAGAAAGTTATTTATTAAATTATTGAGAGCCGATGAACTTTTGTATACTGCACACCAGGCTTGCCAGACTTTGTTTACTCTTCTTAGTAAAAAGTTTGTTGCTGTAAGATGTTATTAAATTTTTCCGCTTTTCCTACAAAGTTTGAAATTTGGATTTATTTAGTTTTTGTTAGATATGGAGCTGAATTTTCATAAAGAAATAATAACCATTAAACAAGCAAAATAAGATAGAAAAAACTTGTCAAAATATTATATACCTGTTATTTCTTACATGACTGTATATGTGCACATTAAGCCAGGTATATTTCAATAGAACTTGGATAGGGGCAAAAAGGAATCCTCTAACAAGGCATATTGACGCAGAATGGAATTAATTTAATATGTACTTTTTAAAATACGAAAAGAAATTGCAGAAATTCCGTCAAAACAGAAGATTTTGAAAAAAAATAAAAAATTTCTCACATGATTAGGTTCTTTATGTATGGCTTTTATATCGGCTAATAATTATAAATTATAATATATGTATTTATATGTGTAGCGACAGTAACAGAATTATGTCGCTACATATTTATGGCTTTGCCTACAAGTACCTTTTTTATTATAAATGAATTGATAAATAGTTTTTGATTCCTTTATTGTTATGTATTTGGTGTTCAATAAAATGTTCATACATATATGTATTTAAAAAGGGAATTATCATTTGTACACTGGATACCACATACATATACAGTTAAACTGATTTCGTAAATGCAGCAATGCAAAGCATCAGCCCCTTTTATTTCTAAACTATAATTGATGGAATGCTCAATTTGCCAAACTAAGATCCTATTCGGCATTTTAATGGGGTTGCGCATATTGAACATTCCAATTAGTTTTAGTTTAGAAATAAAAGATACAGATGCTTTGCATATAAGAATATTTTTGAAATGAATTAAACTAGTAGCGAAGGATATTTCAATTAGTTGATTCTTTTCTATGCACGTACATACAGTGGCGAAAATACAAATAGGGAATAGACATTTTAGCATTCTTTGATTATTTCCCTTTCGACCACTTAATTTGGATTATTTTTTTATGAAAGTGTAGTACGTTATCTAACAAAAACCAGGTTAGGCAAAATTGCAAACTTTGTACAAAAATTAGCAAAATTCGACATAGTTTAATGAAAATGTTGAGCTTTTTAACTAGATTTAGTCGAAAATGGCCAAAATGTTGTTTTATCGTTTTGTCGCGGGCTGTAGATAAAAAAACGAAAACTAGTTATGAAGGATATTTCTGTTATATTGCCACGGTAGCTCTCCATGGGGTGTCATTGCAGTGTCTGCTGGCCTACCCATAACGCTGCTTGGCCGGATGGATGGGAGTATTCCATTTTCTCCAAGCTCATTTCGCCAGTTACCGCGTACAGAAATGCCATTTCTATCATCGTCGACGTCTGAGCTTCGAATATATAATGATTTGCGCGTTATTAAATTATGCAAAACACAAATCGTAAGGACAATAGCCTTCGCGTGTTCTGGTTTTACGTCTAATGGCCTCCTTAAGATGATGAACCACGATACACATATACCGAACACATTTTCAACTACATTTCTTGCTCGCGATAGTCTGTAATTGAAAATTTTGTGCGACATCAGCTGCTCGCGATAAGAGAAAAGTTTCAGTATATATGGCTTTAAAGGAAAAGCGTCATCAGGCACTATGACAAATGGCATAGGGTCTCCTTCATGTGGAAGTGGTCTCGAAGCCGGGAAATTAATGCTATTATCAGCAAGAGCTGCCGAAAGTGGGCATCTGAAATGAAAAGAAATAGTTTCAAATAAAAAGTGGAAATGTTAAGATTATTTAGCAACATATTGCAGAGATCTTACCTTGCGAAAACTCCGCCATCAGATTCTCGACCACACGCTCTGACTTCCACAAACAAAGATTTGTAGTCAGCATCTACCATAGCCATCAGGACAAAGCTATTACATTTTTTGTAGTTAAAATACTCTGACCCACAATTAGCAGGCGCCTGAATCGCAATGTGCTTTCCATCTAATGCCCCACAGCAATTAGGGAAATTCCATCGTTGTTCGAAACGGTCAGCAAGCATTGCCCATTGTCCAGGAGTACTCGGAACCTTAATAAAATACATATTTCGACGCTGTCATTTTCACTTTAATTATTTAAAAACTTACCTTTAGAAATTCGTTTTTCAAAGCCTCGAAAATAGCACCACATGTTTCATATATTAAATGGCAAATAGTCGTTTTCCCCATTAGGAAAACGGTCATTAGGCTGGAAAACCTATCGCCTGTTGCCAAGTAGTGCAAAGTTACTGCCAATCTTTTACCGACAGAAATTGATTCCCTAAAACAATTTTTTTGTTTTTAAATATATGGAGTAAGGCGTTTCACAAGAAAATCGAAATCCTCCAGAGTCATCCTCAAAAAACTCTTGAACCACTTTGGATCCTGTAAAGTTAGCATAGACCGCTAAAATCCACAAGTGGCTCTTTCTCTCAGGCCTGGTCTAATCCACCATTGCTTTCTCTTCCTCATTTGGGTTCTTTTATTTTTCCAGACCTTAAGTGTCCTAATTACACAAAATATAGCACAAGTTATTGCAATTCGTTTTCTTTTTAACATTGCTGAACTCTTAAATTACTTTTTGCAAAAAGCTAGATATTTTGATTGAGTAGATCAGCTGATTGCGTGTAATGAAAACGGTATGTCAATCAACTGACCACAAAATTTGACAGCAATCTTTGACCGGAACTGCAATACCGAATTTATTCCAATTTACAGGATGTAATGAAAACACATTTGACACCAAAAGACGAGCTGTCAGTTCAGGCAGTTTTTAATGTCAGTGATTTTGACCTAATGAAAACCAAGCTTAATAATAACAAGTTGTTGTCAGTAACTTAACCTCACTTTTTCGGCAGGTCTATTCCGGTCACACATTTTAAAGTACTAGAAAAGGTAGTACTAATTATTACATTACAACGCTTTTATCAACTTGCAATGTTGTGGATCCAGAAGCTTTCGATGTTGTGTGTCCGACACCAAAGCAAAGCTTTGAAAAGCTCCTATAAAAAAGCATAGTGAATAGGGCGACATCTGTAGTGAAGTAGTGCATAGGGCGATAGCTGTAGTGAATAGGGCGAGGTAGATGACATCTAGATGCCGCCCTATGCACTACGTTTGCTACAGCGGAAATAGACGACACGTCATTCTTTAAATAAAATTAATTGGTGCTCGTTTGTATGTACATACATATGTAAATGCATGTGTGTGCACCTTTCTATTAATATCGTTGAATTATTTTAATATCTATTACAAAATTTTATTCAGGCAGGACTAAAAAGTAGAAAATAAATAATATAAAAAAAAACTTTTTAATATACAACGCTTTTATAAATGGACTAAAAAGTAGAAAATAATATTTCTCAGTCCCAT